ACACATGTAAAAGTACACATTGTCAAAGTACAAAGCAAACAGCAAGCTCACTTGGTTGAGTGGGTAAGTAGCTTGCTTTGTAATTTGTCTTTCTGTTCATAGGTACCACGATCGAATCCCGTCGACGACACTATCATCCAATATGCACTTCTTTCTAGTAAGTCAAGCTTTTCTCATATCAACACACACTCTGCTGGCCAATAGACAATGAAACCTTAGCTAGTAATTAAAAATACCCCCAAAAAATATTTTTAAAAGTATATTTTTAAAAAAACAAAAAGCGCGTTTAAACGTGTGTAGTAAAAACGCGTTTAGGCGCGTCTTGGAAAAACGCGTTTAAACGCTAGCAAATGGTGCATTTTCAGAGCGATTAAACGCAGCAAAAAACGCGTTTTCAGACGCGCCTGGGATTGAAAAATATTTACATGGGTGGTGTTTCAATATCAATGTCGACAGTCGAGTCACGATGTTTTATTCTGTCGAAAAGTCTCAATCTAACTAAATGGTAAATTGGACATGAGAGAAAGAAATGCTCGACTGTTTCACTGTGAAAACAGTCACAAAGATCATCGCCTGGGTTTTTTAAAATATGGCGTCTCAATAAGTCAGATCTCAATGTCGAAAAGTCACAACGCATTTGATAGAACGCGATATCAGCAATTCTATTCATTCCTGTGGTTACTCTTACTTTTGATGTTAATTCTAAGAACTTCGATAACTCTTGTGTAGAAGATGTTAGTTTATGTATTTGACATAATTTACTCGGCAAAAAGAGTTATTCTACATTGATGGTAAAGATGGAAAAAGCACAGAGTTGAGTTTTTGCTTCTTCCGTAGATTAACTTCATTTTATTGTGATTATTAGAACGGGTGTTATGGGATGAGTTGTACATCGGTTGTATATATTTACAAAGAAATGATGGAGCTTTTTTATAAATGATTTTGTGGAAATGCCTCAGTTTTATTAGCTTAAATGTTACTTCGAGGTTACTCCATCCTAAAAGTTTTCTTATTTTCATTCGATTCGTAAGACGTAATGCACCGCTTACTAATAAAGATGCATTATACTGCACATGTTCGAAAGCAGAAATATTAGATTGATTGATATAGATACACGATCCATAAATGATCACTGGGAGAACAAATGATTTGTATAATTGATTTAATGTGGATGTACTGAAAATTCTTTTACATGTTTTTAACATATTTAATAACTTTCCACATTTATTTAAAACATATTGTTGATGTACTATCCAATCTAATTTACTCGTCAAGAAAATTCCAAGATGTTTTCGTTGTTTAACCTCATTTAGGCTGATGTTATTTATTACGAGAGGAGGTGGTGTTAAATTGTAGCTAAATGTCATTGACTCACATTTCTGTTCATTCAGAGGCAATGGCCACTCAACTGACCATTGATGCATTTTTAACAGATCGCTATTTAAATGTGCTGTTAAATCATGTATATCGCTATCGGAATGATGAATGACTGTATCGTCAGCAAACAGCCGTGTGCTGGAGTTTAATGATTCTCCAATATCATCAATGAAAACAAGAAACAACAGTGGACCGAGGACGCTGCCTTGGGGAACGTCTCGGTTAATTTTTTTCGGAGACGACAGACTTCCATTGATCACTGTTATTATTTCTCTATCAGACACATAGCTCTTAAACCAACTCAGTAGCGAGCCACGAATACCTTTCATTTCTAGTTTATGCAGCAATCCTCTTAACCAAACACGATCGAACGCCTTACTAAAATCGAGAAAAACAGCTCTTGTTATTTGCCCTTTATCTCCATTCTGATAAGCTGTATGAACAAAATCAATCAGCTGATTCACTGTAGAATCACCCCTAATGAATCCCGATTGCATACTCGACAACAACTTATTCATAGTGAGATAGTGATACAAATGATTATATACAACGCGCTCAAAAACTTTACTGAGAATTGGTAAGAGAGTTATTGGCCTATAATTATTTGTATTAGAAGAATCGGCGTCTTTAAATAATGGATTGATATAACCTATTTTAAAGACCTTCGGGTATTCGCCTGTTTCTATTGACTGATTAATCATACTCGCTATGTAAACTGATGAAATTATAGATGATTCTCTCAACAAGCGTGATGTTATTCCTGGACTGCTTGCTTTGTTTATATTTAGTTTACTTACGATAAGTTCAACCTGAGTGGAAGAAACGACAAGAGTCGGAATTCTCTGTTTATACTCTTTTACATATGATATTGTTTTCGTATTATCAGACAAAGCTATAGTACAAATGGACGCAAAATACATATTCAGTTCATCAGCTTTTTTCCTATCCTCATATGTCCACTGTCCACTCTGATTTTTTAACAGATGAATACTTGACTATTTTTTCCTCCCAAGAGAAAAATTTAATGCTTTCCACCATTGTTTGTCAGAGCTATTTGTGTTGTTAATCCGGTCGATATACTCGTCCTTAGTTTGTTTACATGAATCTTGAAATGTCTTTGTCAAACAGAGATATTTATTACGACTATCGTCTGTCTTTGCCTTAATATGTCGCCTATATGCTCTGTTCCTTTTCCTCAGCAACGTACACAAATTATCTGTGAACCAGGGTTGATTTCCGTGTTTAATTCTAATAGTTTTATTTGGAATTGATTTATCAGCAGCTTCAAGTATTACTCTATTAAACTCATCAACTTGATGATCTAAGTTATATTTACTGTTAAATATATGACTAATACAGTAGTCGGCAAATGAATTTCCCCCCTACGTATTTTTCAGAGAAAAATGACAGGATCCATTCTTTTCTCATTTTTCTACACGTAGAAAGAAAGCGCAGAACTGCATCAGACCCCATCAAGAGCACAAAGTTTGTGAGGACGTGATTTTGATAGTGAAAATTTTGTTGAAAGAAAGAGATGTCAAAATTCGTTGTCCCAAAACTTATTTTCCTCTTGATTATTGTCACAAAGGTGCTCATTTACATAAAAGGTTGATCTCGATGAACATCGCTCTTTGCCGTAATGGCGCATTTTCGATATGCGTTACGAATTTCTTTTGTCGATAAAGTAAAAAAAGTGTTCGATAAAGACACGGGGATATCAACAAACAACAATCGTGCGGCTATGGAAGTTCAATAAGTCGACGCACGTGGACTTACATTGGGGACGTTGTCGCGAAGTTGTAGATGTTCTCTTTATGCCGACTGGGTCTGCCAAATATCTATCACCATTGGACAATCCCTGGTGGCATTCATTCAAGGAAATTGTTCGAAAACAACATCCATTACAAGCGAACGATATCCCCGAGTCTTTATCGAACACTTTTTTTACTTTATCGACAAAAGAAATTCGTAACGCATATCGAAAATGCGCCATTACGGCAAAGAGCGATGTTCATCGAGATCAACCTTTTATGTAAATGAGCACCTTTGTGACAATAATCAAGAGGAAAATAAGTTTTGGGACAACGAATTTTGACATCTCTTTCTTTCAACAAAATTTTCACTATCAAAATCACGTCCTCACAAACTTTGTGCTCTTGATGGGGTCTGATGCAGTTCTGCGCTTTCTTTCTACGTGTAGAAAAATGAGAAAAGAATGGATCCTGTCATTTTTCTCTGAAAAATACGTAGGGGGGAAATTCATTTGGCGCCTACTGTAGATAGTAATAAATGAAAAAGCGTAAAACGAAAGTAATTCCCATCAGCCGTTTTGTAATTATATATCCTTCTCGTAAATGATGATTTATTGGTTATAGCTGATTGCAGATGTTAAAGCTAACTATGGCATGATCACAATTTTCGCATAAAAAATCTTCAACTTTCGCACTACTAACGATAAGGTGGTTATCAACAAAAACCAAATCCAAACAAGTATCAGCCGGCGCCTTTTTATTTGGTCGCCTAGTAGGTTCTCTAACAAATTGGAGGAGATTATTTTTTGTCGAGAAAGCATAAAGCTTCTCTCCTTCTCGTGTTGTTTTTTTCATCTTGCACCACTTTGTGCAATGTCCGTTAAAATCACCGCAAATAATCTTGTTTTGATATTTATATTTACTACTTAACGTCTCGATATTTTTTTCTAAGTATAAAAGTCTCAACCGGTTCTGCAGAACGATAGCAAACAGAAATTAAAGTATTACCATAGTAAGGAAGAAGAACATTTACAAAAAGACACTCGGAATTAGAATTATTACTTTTTAAGACCACAGTGGATTGTATATGATCTTTAATATACAATAAACAAACCCCTCCTGAACCATTTCTATCATTTCTCATACATTTAAATCCAGGTATATCCAATTTATCTGTTGTCACTGAGTCACTTAGCCAGCTCTCTACTATTCCTACAAACAGAGGATTTTCATTCGTACATACTCATATAAAAGTTCAAATTTCGAAACATTTGGCGCGCTATCACTTCATTCACTGAACATACTTCTGATGTTCAAAAAAAGTCCCTCAGTGTTGATATTCAATTTACCACTAGTTAGACTGTCACTCTTAATTAATTTTGTCGTCAATTGAAAAAGTGTCAAGACTGTCTTCAGTCGATATTGAAACAAAATATTGAGTGGGATATCAGGAATGAGATGATATAATAAAAATGAAGTCAACCTTTACTTCACACTCCTCTCTATTGTTAGGACAGGGAAACGAAAGAAGAATATATATATGCAAACCTAACATCGTATGTATTCTTCTTCTCCTACCCAGACGGCTGTCAGTGCAAAAGAGCAGGTATACGAAGAATGGATGAGAGTGAGTCACATAAGATGACATTAGAAGAAAGAAGAACAATATGCACATAACAAATGTTAGTTTACCGTAGCTAAAATCGTTATGAAGTTTCATTTAAATTTAACGGTACATTTAATGAATTTAATGATTGTACTTGACTTTGTTGAGATGAATTTGTTTGGTATTCGTCTAATACCTGATTTGCTTGATATTTATCACGCACATACACTAATTTACCTGCATCATTTTTGATTATGACACGACCTCCGCGAGTAAATACATCTCTCTTGCGTTCGGGAGGTAAATTTCGCCTTAATAGATATAGTACTTCTAAATCACGTTTTGTTACGTCTTCGTAGACAGATTCATTTGTTGCCTTATATATAAATTTACGATTGACTAGTGATGCATGAACAACTTCCCGTGAATAGAATTTTGCTATAACTGTACAATGTTTTTTTAATTTTCTCACGCGATGTGCTACTTCAATTAAATTTATATCAACACCTTGAATACCAGATTTTTGAGCTGCCTGAACAATAGTATTTTTCAATAAATACTCCGGTACGCTGTTGTTAATTCCATCGAATTTAACCAATGTACCAGCACGAACAGCAAATTTTTTAATGTCTAACCCGTCTATAGAAAAACGAAGCCGCACAAACTGTAAATATCTCAAGGTCTAAATATTTGAGTATCTAAACGTCCAAATATCTAAATGTCCATACGTCTAATGAACGCCGAAAAATGAACCAACATTAACTGAAAATATCCAAATATCTAAAAGCAGCCCACAAAAAATTAACAAAGTGTGAATATCTAACAAGAACATAAAATGTGAACGTGCACAAACTGTAACTATCCATATATCTAAACATAGAAATACCTAAACATCTAAATCTCAAACCAGCCCACAAAAAATCAATCTGCACAAACTGGCAACTATTATGTCTCAATCATGATGAGTGAAGCAGAAAGGAAATATCATCCAACTGAACGAGAATTTCTTGGCATTTATTGGTGTCTGAACAAGCTCCGAAACTATATTGGTAGCTCCTCAATCATCGTTGAAACAGACCATAAACCACTGATCAACTTCCATCATGGCTTAAAGTTCAAAAATCAAAGAATTGAAAACTGGTTATTAAAATTACAAGATCTGCTTCCTCAAGTGATTGATGTGAAATATATTCTGGGAAAGAACAATTCTGCTGCAGACTATCTTTCCAGACGGCAAACACCAGCGAATAGCAACACCGAAAACCGATCAAATGGTGATTGGATCCAACAACCAGAATCATGGTCTGAAACCGAACCAAGACCATACCAA